TTAGCTCTGGAATAGTCACATTATTACTGAGCACTGGCTCTTAGCTCTGGAATAGTCACATTATTACTGAGCACTGGCCCTTAGCTCTGGAATAGTCACATTATTACTGAGCACTGGCTCTTAGCTCTGGAATAGTCACATTATTACTGAGCACTGGCCCTTAGCTCTGCAAATAGTCACATTATTACTGAGCATCTGCACGTAATACAGGGAAAGTAAGCAGTAGACATCCCAGGTATTCAGCGTGTTACCTGACAGGAAACGAATTGCCACCACATAGCAATCCCTTGCCTTTGTGAGGTGTCTAATGGTAATTTAGACTATTGGGTATTAGATTGTTGCAGTAGATTCAGGATGGGGAGAGTGAGCAGAGAGCTAAGTGTCTGAGATCAGAGGCAGGTAATAGGAAGACTGCTGATTCAGAGCTCAGAGCTGATGCAGTGCCCTGATGCAGTGCCCTGATGCAGTGCCCTGATGCAGTGCCCTGATGCAGTGCCCTGATGCAGTGCCCTGATGCAGTGCCCTGATGCAGTGCCCTGGGGTGCTCATATAAAAAAAATGTATTTAAAAGATACAAAAACTGGCACATATGAAAGAGAAGGAGAAAGGTCAGCCACAAAATGAAATGATAACATGACTATCATCAAAACCCCAAAAAACTTTTATAGTTTTCTGTTTGTACTAACAAAGATAAAAAGATATTAAATTACAAATGATATTAAATTCAACCCCTTTGAGGCTGTTATCTGGCTATTCCTCAGGACATACTGTATGTGTCACTTTTTCCATGACAGAAATCACCTTTCTGTCATTTTAGTGAATTCTTCAGGCATCTGGAGAATGTCAGCTCAAATTCCGCCATCAAACTCGCCTTCCCATCCTAACACTCTAACAATAAGCCATGCGCACTGAGATACGTAAGGCCCTGCCGGCTGTCTAAATGAGAAATTCACAATGCATTCACACTGTAGCGGTTTTCTTCGGTCTCTGAATTTCCTACATCATTCTCACCTGTTCAGCACTATGTGGTTCCTCACTCACCAAACATTAGCCTGTCCAGAGACTAATAGCTTTGTTTTAAATGACTGATTAATACAGATGATGCCCCATTCTTTCTTATAAAACATTTAGGCCATTCCTCCAAAAACACGCTCCATCCCCCAGAGAGCTGAGCTTCGCCCACCCCCCTTCTGAAAAGGAAAATCCCATATGCAGATGAAGGCTTTGGGGGAAGGTGGGGGCCGGGGGTTGGTCAGGTGACTCGGGTTAATGCCGATGTTGGTTCCCTCCACCTGCCTCGTTCCCATCCACCCATATAAATGGGGGGTCCTGGTCTCTCTCAACCCTCCACTATACTGAGCAGACCCCGAATAGCCAGCCATCCACAATCCTGTTATGATGTCAGCACTGGGCTGGATGATGAGAGAAAACAGAAACAGGGCAAGAAAGGGTAATTTGGCATTATGGGATAGCATGGTTTCTAACATTGAAGTCTATTAGTAATGTCTAATATCTATAGTGAGCATCGTCACGCTGTATGACTTTAAAGCCTTTTTCTGGGTTAATTGTATTTGATCGGTTTTTAAAATGTAAACGGGGGAAATGCTTTTATATTAATAATTTAAATTAATTATAAACCCAGTCCAAAGTGAACCTATCACATTCTGCAGAGCCCCGTGTGCTTGTGTGAGGA